GCCATTTCATGCCGCACCCTGCTTCATGCGGTTGTTGGTCCGTGGGATGAATCTCTGTACAGCTTCTGTCATCCCGCGCTCTCTTCCTCCTCCTCCTCCGAATCAGACAGCTCTGAGGACGATACGTCCCCGGAGGTCTCTTCCTCGAGTGCACTTGCTGCCTCGACCCCATGGCCGAAGCACTGTTTACATGCACGGTGATACTCAGCCGTGCTGGGAGTCTCCTCTCCCAGCACCTCGAACGTGGCGTAGTGCACCCCAGGCTGCCTATGGCATTCGCCTATCTTGTGGAGCGTCCTCGTCTTTGACCGCCCCACAATCGACACCACAAACATGCCCGTGATCCTGTCCACAGGCATGATCTCTTTCCTCTCCGTCTCTACGCCCTCCAAGTCATTCTCACCCTCTGCCTCCACCATGGGCTCGACCTTGATCTCCACGATATCGGCCGTCTCCTCGACGAGCACCACCGGGCCCGTCGTCGTCCAGTTTGGTTTCCTGCATGGTTTTGCCACATCGTCTCCCGGCATGAACGTCATAAGTCTCATGGACTGCTCATCTAACTCCTCTTGCCCATAGCCCAGGTCTTGCATTCTCTGTTCCGCCAACTGCACCACCATCGTCTCGTCGAAGGGGTCCGAGTTCGCCAGGTTCTCTTTGATGTACACTGCTAACACCTTCTGGCAACGGAGGACATTCGTTCTCACATTCCTCTCGTACCCTTCGTCGGCTGATGGTTTCCAGCGGCCGATCATCTTCCGCGCATCTTCCGGGATCCTCGCGGCTTGCGCCCATGTGCGGATTGTGGACCGCTCGCTATGCTCTGTCCAAATCACACCCACGCCAGGCTTGAGGACCAGCTGCCGTTGATCCCCCTTGCCCTGCGTGATCTCATTGAACAATGCTTGTGACATAGTCGATGCAATCGGATAGTCCACCATCTTCCGAATGAATCCATTCCTGTTCGCATTCGGCCACGGCAACATGAAGTCTCTGCCTAGAAGACCGGCCTCGGATCCCATTGCCGTCCAAAGTTTCCATCCCACTGCCAGCCAACGGCTTTCACAAAGCCATGCATCCTTGTGGACATAGAAAGGGAGCAGGACTATTCGCTTCCCTGGCCCCGAAGTCTTCGATCGGTTGATGACCCCTTTCAAGCCCCAGTCGAACATCTCCATGGTCCGATTCGGAGCACCTTTTGTGTCGTCAAACCTCATCCCCGTCCATAGTTTGATCAGCCTGAACCATGCGTAGATCCGCGGGTATCGCGGTGCCTCCTCATTCACGACATGTGTCTCCCATGCCATGATCACAGCCACTGGCAGCAACACCGCCTTGCGGGTCTCCTTCATGGTCGCGTTCTGCAGCCTATGCGCCGCCTCCTCCAAGGCGTTCTTCACCGCAGGCGACCTGTATAGCTGATCTTGCTCAGGAACTTCTCCCGCGTGCTCCAGGAACATGAGCGTCTTGTAGATGGACTCTGGGAAGCTCCTGGCGCATGGCTCTTCTACCATAGCTTCCAGGAACTCTGCAAACTGCGATGCTGTCTTCGGCCATTCGCAGTCGTGCACCACCTTCAACCATCTAGAGGCTTTTGCCCAAGTTTTGACATGCTTGCGCAGCGTGTTCGGACGCCTTCCTTTTGCCACACGGATCAGAAGCGCATCCTCGCTTGAGCGCAATGCCACTGGTAGCCGAGCTCGCTTCATGATATTTCTGATCTCGCCCAACCACCGATCTCTCTCCTGCTTCTCGGCGAGCTCTCGCATCGCCACATCCGTGGAAGCAATGTGCAGCTTTAGTCCAAGCCGCGTAGGCCACCTGCTTCTCTTGGCTGTTCCCACGGGCTGCACCTTCGACTTCACATCTTCCGCCACGTAGTCGCCAAAGATCTTCTGTCTCACTTGACGTTGATGTGCCACGTGGGCTTCCAGCAAGTCTTGTCCACCTCTCTTCGCGTCTAGCTGGTGTCTTGTATGGGCTCTCGTAGCGGCACGCCTAACCATGTCCTGCAGCGAGTCCAACTCCACCTTGAAGTGCTCGTCTCGCTGCTGCAGGCGCCAGACCACTGCCTTCAGCAGATCTCTCCCGCCACCATCTAAGGTGGCCAGGCGTGTTACGCTCCAGCCACCCGCCTCCATGGCACTGATCAAACTTCCGACCAGTGCCATCTCGTCACGGTCGTCCATGGCGGCGTGAGCTAGATCCCTACACCCTGAACGAATGCGGGATGCTCGAGCCGCATCTCGTCGATCGTTTCGTGACAAACCGTGTCTTACAGACAACTAGTCATATTTCTTCTACGTAAGTGAAGGGGCCTCTTCTTTTAGCATCTGCGAGAACGGCGGGTGGAGGTGGATGCGCAAGTAATTACTTATTTACGACGACTGATTGGATAAAATTGGACAATGACTGGCATGACTGGAGCATTTACCTGAAGCATGACTGTATGTGAAAAACATAATCTTTAAACATACACACACACAACTGCTGCTGCATGTGGTGCGCCTGTGCAACACATCGTCAAGATGATGCAACAAAAAAAGCAAAAGACTTTGCATTGCACCAGTTGATACACACGTGCAAAATTTGGTTGAGAAGACTGTGATGGCATGCCAAAGGTGGCCAGTTGATTTTCGAGAGTCAATCCAGGGACAAGATGCACAAGTCACACATGGTGTTGTGAAAGCAGCCTTTGTTTTGACGTTTGCAAAAACTGCCTTTCTTCATTTGATTTTGGGATCTTCAATAACACCATTTCCCATCCCATCCCCACTTGAATTTCCAGAATGCATTGCAGTTTGTGATTCTCTTCGGCTGCCTCGTCAAAGCCTCTCCGTTCTGTTTTGGTCGGTTTAACTTGATTGTTCTTCAATCCTGTGGTTGTACTTCCTCAGGGTTGCATTGCTGGAGGAATCGTTTTGTTCAATTCATTGAATTCATTGTTTTTGGTTTGGAGGTGGAGCAGGTTGAGAGTTTGACTCATGGACACTGCTTGTACATAAGGTCCGAGTCCATGTGTCTTGCACAAACAAAGCAAAGCTTGGCATCGCTCGTGGTCTCACACGTAGTGTAACATAGTGAGTTCAAACTCATGGGAGAGAACTTGAGAGGGGGGAAACAAAAACCAGTGGAAGTTTACGCGTGAGCCGGACGCACGGCGGTGTACTCACCTCGGGTCATGGGACAATGGCGCTGGGTCTTGCTACTGTTCAAAGGCAAAGTTCAACACGCCTTGTGTTTTTGGAAATCCCTTTTGGTCACCCTGAGACCTGGGTCAGGCTTCGAGCCGCCCCCGCTTGGTCGTCATGCAGTCTTTACACCTCAAAGGTGGGGCAGTTCTTGAGCTAAAACACCGACGGTAAATCTCAGTACCGTTGGTGCTGGTGCTTTTTGGAAACCACGTTCGGTCACCTCTACTAAGACTTCAAACTCCAAAGCTCCATAGACGAACCTCCTCGGTCTCTACGGAGATTTCAGTACTACTGATACCTTTTTGGAATGTTGTTGGTCACCAGAATCAGGCTTAGCGTCCAAAAGCTCCGTAGACTCCCGTAGACGAAGCCCCTTGGTTGTCAAATCCATTAAAATATAGTTTTTTCCGATTTTCCTAAAGAAACCCGTTGCTGCTGGTGACCCCAACTTGCTGATGCAAGTGATGCCGACACAGGTTCTTCTTGCATCTTCAGAATGGTCCGCTACACGCGTCTCAACGGTCCCAACCCACGACGCAAACTATATAGTTATTTTGTTAAGCACATGCCACACGCATCTTGCTCCACCAACCTGGGGTATTTTATGCTGCCTGTGCAAGGACAAGGGCACTGGGATTGGAAGAGTGCAGGGCGGGGACCATATTCAACCGCATAAACTACCGCAGCCAGGATTAAATAGCTAAGTAGTTAGAAATTCGTAGTTGGTAGTTAATTTGCTATAGTAGGCAATGGAAAGCAAAAAGTAATATAATAGTCGTAGAGGTAGAAGTAGTAGTAGTAGTAGTAGTAGAAGAACCAGTACAAGCAGAAGTAGAAGTAGTACGAGTAGCAATAGTAGTGGTGGTAGCAGTCGTCGTAGCAGTAGAAGTAGAAGTAGAAGTAGGAGTAGGGGTAGGAGTAGAATCAGGAGTAGTAGTAGTAGAAGTAGTAGTAGTTGTTGTAGTAGTGGTTGAAACAGTCGTAGTATGTAGTAGTAGTGGTACTAGTAGTGGTGGTAGTAGTAGTAGCAGCAGTAGTAGTAGTGGTGGTGGTAGTAGTATTGGAGGTAGTAGTAGTAGTAGTAGTAGTAGTAGTAGTAGTAGCACAAGTAGAAGTAGAAGTAGTAGTACTAGTAGTAGTAGTAGTAGTAGCAGGAGTAGTAGTAGTAGTAGTAGTAGTATTGGAGTAGTAGTAGTAGTAGTAGTAGTAGTAATAGTGGAGTAGTAGTATTGGATTAGTAGTAGTAGTAGTAGTAGTAGCGGCAGTGGTAGTGGTAGTGGTAGTGGTAGTGGTAGCAGTAGTAGTAGTAGTAGTAGTAGTAGTAGTAGTATTGGAAGTAGTAGTAGTAGTAGTAGTAGTGGAGTAGTAGTAGTAGTAGTAGTAGTAGAACCAGTACTAGTACTAGTAGTAGTAGTAGTAGTCGTGGTGGTGGTGGTGGTTGTAGTCGTGGTTGTAGTAGTGGAAGTAGTAGTGGAAGTAGTAGTGGAAGTAGTAGGTAGTAGTAGTAGCAGTAGTAGTAGTAGTCGTAGTGGTAGTGGTAGTCCTAGTGGTAGTCCTAGTGGTAATGGTAGCGGTAGTGGTAGTGGTAGCAACGGTGGTAGTAGTGGTGGTAGTAGTAGTTGTTGTAGTAGCAGCAGTAGCGGTAGTGGTAGTGGTAAGCAGGCTACTCTGACTATGATTTGGTACTGCCCCCCCCCACACCGCCGAATTCTTGTTCGCATATAGTATATAGAAACAAACTTCAGCCTAGCCGCCTAGCCTATCGGCTTGCTTCGTAATTACAGTAGTTCGGTTTGACTGTTTGGCCTCGTTTTTGACAAAGTCTCGAAGGCGCTGCAAAGTGCAACTTCGCAAAAGGGTCACCTGCCAGAAGCCAGTCTATACACATAGCTTGCCTGTAGAACAAACACTCTCTGACTGACAAAACAAACACTCTCTCTGTCTGCCATAGTGATGTCTGTGGCTCCAACCTGCTGCTTCCGGCTTCTGAATGCAAAGCTCCGTTCCTGAATGAAGAGCCAATCTTGGCTCAGCGCTTCCCAGATATTCTGAGGTGGCTCTTCCAACTGCAAGGCCAGGCTTTCACAGTGCTCATGAAACCTAGGAACCAAGGTCACAAGGAGTTGAGCTTGTCAAGCAATACCAAGCAAGCATGTGCGCTAAACATCAACACTGTCTCATTGCTGTGATCATTATGGGCCTAGATGCTCTCTCTCTGTCAGGACTGACAGGATATGGTGACATGCATGATCCAAGAATCGGTCAATGCTTTTCAAAGCCACCTCTGGAGCCCGTTCAGTTTGCACCAAGAAAATCAAAGATATGTGAGTGACACGCGTTCGCATAAAGCTTGACACTACGTAGCCCAGCTGCTGTCGCGTTCGCAATTCATTGTAAAACATGGACTTCCAAATCTGCATTAACAGCGCTGCCAAAGCTTCATTCTCAGGTGTGGATGTTGCAATGTTGCAAAGGCTCTCCACTGAGCAGCTGTTCCGATCTTCAGAATTCTTGCCGTCCAGCTGCACGATAGTCAGAAGATCACGGCCAAGTCTTGAGCGAGGCAAAAGCATTTCCACAGGAGACGGAACATTGCATAATCTGTCGCAGGGCTCCAAGACGGCCTCCTGGTGCCAAACATCTCTCCAAGGACCCAAGGTTGCATTCAACAGCTGGATTGCGTCAGCCCAGTCCAAGTTTCCCACGATTAGGCCCTCCACCAAGCATCTTCCAGAGCCGAAGAATCTTTGGAACAAATCCGAGAAGCACATGCCCTCTTCTTCAAGAGCTGAAGTGGCCTGTGTCAAGAACCACAAAATATCATCAATAGCAACGGTATATTAAACCTCCATGGAAAACCACGTTGCGCAGCGCTTGCCTGGATCAGGTCCGAAAGTGCTGGACGTTGAAATAACAACTCCTCCAAGCCATTCAGAGCCTGTCAGCTGTTTGAAGCAACATCACATCTTACAGCGTACTGCTCACTGGTCCGGTTAGAAGGTAAGGAAGGCACAGAAGGTGCCACAATAGCAGTAGAGTCGAGAAAAAGGAGGGGCAAACTGGGACTGACACATTATTGGCACAAATCATGTGCAAACATCACTTACTTATTATGTATGAATGCATTTTGTGTTCCTTTCAAAATTAATCAATTAGGATGTTTAGGTGTGTTCGTTCAGAGTTAGCATGTCCTTTATCGTGTTGCCGCAGTTTGAACACACATGGTGTAGGTTAGAGTTCGCATTGACTTCCAAGGACATCCAAGGACATATGACATATTGCATATGCATATGGCATATGACAGTAGGATACAGTAGGGGTAATTATCAATTTTCAGGCCTTGGAAAACACCAAATCACAGTCCTGGATGGAAGGCAATGATGATGACTTGGATAACGACTCATATACACATAACAAATATACATAAAGAACAAACACAAATACAATGAAGCATGCATTGCCGTCTTCGACAACACCTTCCCAAACAAGAAGGGTCGTCTTGCATCTAGAGACCGCCAAGCCAAACTCCAGCCTGATTGTAAGCTTGTCCACGACTTGAATTTTTCAAGCTTCGCTCCTCCAAGTCAGACTCGGTGAACACACCCAGCTTGAAACGTGCTTGGAGAGTTATTTCATGTTATTTCAAGCAAATGCTACTGCTGCACGTGCTGGTTGTTTCGATAACATGAAGGTCATAATCGGTCATAAGATTTCCACCAAACAACCGCTGAGGCCCACCTGCTGATCTCTGAGGTATCTCCAACTTGGGCTTCGACGGCTTGAGCTTAGTGTCTCTGAAATTCTCCTTGCGAGCACCGGCAATGTATCCCTGAAGCCGAAGACCTGCAAAACGAATCCCGAAAATTCTCCAACTTCCAATTGGTATGTTGCACCAGCTGCTTTTAGTTGGAATGCCTCAGCCTTCAACTCCTGCTGAACCAATTTGCAGTACAAGTGAGCCAGCGCAACTTGTTTCGGGGTTGACATCTCAGAAGAGTACAAAGAGAAGGCAGCTGCAGCTTTAGGCTGATCCACCTTTGATTGCTTAAACCAGGCTCGGCAGCTATCCTCCGCTACCTCCATCTCAATTGGCACATCTTCCTGAGGAACATACCGCATGGATAAATCTGCTGGAAGATAGGTGTTCCTCGGGGGGGAAGCGATACTTTTGCTGTTCAGCAATCTGCGCCCATTCATCGGTCTCCACGTCTGTCCATTTGGTCTTCCAATCATCCTTGATGGAGTCCTCCTTGAGGAAACGACCCCCATACCACGGCTCCGTTGAGGTACAAAAAGCATCAAAGTCTTTCGAAATCAAAGACAGCCGAGCATGGTTTACTGTTGTGAGCTTCAACACAGATTGAGATCCTTCGGCGTCGAGCCTGTATATTAAATGGTCTGCTGCCAGCACTTCTTCAGCTGGATAGTAATGCAAGTTGCAAGCGAGGTCTTGAACGAAATCGAACGGGGATGAGTTGGAAATGTCCGGATAGTGAAAGCTCAACTGTTGAAGCTCCTGGATTTCTTCCAAAACTGCTCTCTGCACTCCCTTTGCACGAAGCATTGAAATGTAAGCGAAGATCAAGCAACCGACTTCCATCACAGTTGTGTCTTTGGTGTCCACGAGGTCAACAGAGAACTCGAGAGTGGAAGCAACTCCGTGATAGTCAAAGCAAGTAGTAGTTTGATTGTGGGAAAGGCCAGCACGTGAAAGGGCAGCTCTCAAACTTCCGTCCCCTTCTTGTTCTAGCAAGTATTTAATGTATGCTGTAGGTTTCGACCTCCAATGTGCGACCTGCCATGGCAGGAGCCAGCACAGCTTGAGTTGGTGTACTTCTTTGACGGGGACAATCCAGATCTGACGACCTCAAACAGATTGGCAACAGACTCAAAATACCAACACCACATTACAAGCAAATCATGAAGGCTTGTCACTAAAGCTAGACACTTAGACATAATGTAATATATGTATTTGTAATATATAAGTTCACCCAAGTGAAAACTTTTGCCTGTTGTCACTTGAAGCAAGGCTGCAGAAATCTTCTTTCAGAAAAGAAGGTTCACCTCCGCCAAGACTGTCACCCATTAGGTAGCTTAAGCCAGGATCCTTTGTGCCCGAAGAAGGAACACAGGAAAAGTATTTTCGAACCCATGATGCGAGCTCTTGTGTGGCTTCACTGCCCACAACTGCCAGCGACATTCGTTCTGACTTATAGTTGGAAGAATGGAAGCTCTCGAGCGAACGGTGCAAATCTGGCAGATTTGGATTCTGCAAAGACTTTGAGCAACCAGATGTCCAGTGATACGGATGCCTTGGGTTTGCATCCAAGAGCAGGATGGCCCATTGACGACGAAAATCGTTTGTTGCGTTCATGCTGTGCTCTGCGTCAATCGCCTGTAATTCTTGCTGCTGATATGATCGACTGAATATGGGTGATGCAAAGAATCTGGCAAAGCGACTCAAGGCCCCTTCAAGCTTGCTTGATTGAACCTCAAAGGCATAGCATGTCTGTAAGACTGTGGTGACAGCATTGTGTCTGCCTCCAGATTGCTTGATGTACTCTGCAAAGTTAGCATCGCCGTAACAAGGCTGAATGGTCCCATGCAGCAGCATGTGTTCACAAAAGTGTGCCAGGCCAGGTCTGTCTTTAGGCTCATGGATGCTGCCGGCCAAAACAGCCAATGCGGCAGCTGCTGGCGTGGACCTATTGGGATCACTGGCCACGACAACTTGGATTCCATTTGGCAGCTCAAAGGACAAGTAGCTGCGGCCCCTTCGACAATCAGTTGTCGGCTGATGAATGTTGGACATGTGGCTGCAGGCTATATAATCTTTGGCTTGAGCCTCTGATGCTGCAGCCTGCAGGAACCTCCAGTTTGGAGAAGAGTCTCTGAGATGAAATTGACAGGAGGGAACCGAAGCGTGTATGAATACTCACAAGCCTTGTTTCAGAAAAATTGTTTAACATGTTGGCGAGAGGGAACCTCAAAACAGCCATCCCCTATGAATTGTACACAGGAGCGGACAAGGCAAACATCACTGAGATGCCTTGAATAAATCACCGGCAGCAATAGCTAATCATCTAATCAAAAGTAGCCAGAAAACAACCAAAAAAAGAAAATCAGTGCAAACAGGTTCCTGTCGATATCTTTAAATTAAAGCAATCGCTAACTACTGGAACAAGCTCACAGTGTCACAGAGGTTCACCTTGTTCGCGGCCCTTCACCTGGAAATTGCTTGCCCTGTCCACTCCGCAAATCTCGCTGTCATTTTCTGAATTCGTTTAAAGTAATTATGCATTTCAACGTCACTTGTAGACCAATATTGCATAGCATCTCTTGGTTTGCACCTTCAGTCTTCCCACACTTGTTGTTCCGAAGACAAGGTCCGCAAAACAAACTTGAAGACGAAGATATTGACTGTGGACTCTGAAAAGGCCGTCGGTCACATACAGCTGAGAAACCTTCAACTTTGTATCTTCGTGCAGAGTAGGCCCGAGTAGGCCAGTCAGGGGGGGTCCCCTCCACTGTAACATTGGAGGAATCCCAAATCGAACAGGAAACTACAAGTAGCGCTCTGAACCATCTAGATGCTTTGGCCGGGAATGCATACGCTGTCAGCGAGTTCAAAAGGATGTCCAAGGACTGTATCAGCTGCTCGGCTGCTCGATCTCAACTCAAAGCATTCCGAAATCAATGTCAATGTCTTGGAAGCTACCATCGCAATAAATGCTGTCCCTTCTTTGCCAATGTTGTCTTTGTGCGCTTGCCATCGGACTCCAGAACCAGATGATGGAGAGCCTATCTTGCATCAAACCGAATGAGAACTAATAAAGTATTCACCGTCATGGTTCTTGTGGGCAATGCCAATGGACTGAACTCGTCCACGGTTAGTTAGTGATTTCTTCAGTGTCTTGATATGTCATCACTGCCCCCGAGATAACATGAACATTATATTTCAGAGATGCATCATCACAGACGCCTCGGATCCCATTAGTCGCTTCAACTTCCCCACAAGCACAGAGTCTGCGCGCACACCTCGCCAGCACCAGCACAAAAGGCAGAACACAACGTGTTGCATGCAAATATTGACGTTCAATGGGACTCTCACATTCATTGACATTGTAGTCTACCAAACTAGCTTGCCTTTCAGTTGCATGCGCTGAAGGAGGCCCAAAACCTCATCCCAAGCATTTGTCCGCAGACAGGCCTCAAAAGGGGGATCATTGGATCCTCTATGACTCCTGGGTCTCAATCAATCCTCTGAAAGCAAAACATTGCTAAAGACTGAGTTAGACTAAAGGCAGCGAAATCACAACATGACAAGTTTCCAGCCTCGATGGCGCATGTATAAGACAGAACGTTTGGCGAGTGCTGAGCATCTGCCATGATATTCAGCCATTCAATGGCTTCTCGATGCTTTGAGGCTTTCGAAAAGGCATGAATGATGTTGGTGTACCTTGCCAGATCGAGAAACACCAAAACAGGAAGATCGGCAATAAGTGTGCAACACTACTAATAACAAGTGCATCGCTACTAGACAAATGCATCCCCATTAGTAGCAAGAAGCTACTAGTAACAAGGGCATCACACGCTATTAGAAGCAAGAAGCTACTAGTAACAAGGGCATCGCTACTAGTAAAAAGTGCATCGCTATTTGCAGGAAGAAACTACTAGTAACAAGGCCACCGCCACTAAAAACAAACGCATCGCTACTAGCAGCAAGAAGCTACTAGTAACGAGGGCATCGTTACTAGTACCAAGTGCATCGCTATTTGTAGCAAGAAGCTACTAGTAACAAGGGCATCACTACTAGTAACAAGTGCATCACTATTAGTAGAAAGAAGCTATCACCAACAAGTGCATCATCATTAGTAGCAAGAACCTACTAGTAACAAGGGCATCCCTACTAGTAAGAAGTGCATCGCTACTACTAGCAAAAAACAACTAGTAACAATGGCTCGCTACTAGTAACAAATGCATCGCTATTAGTAGCAAGAAGCTACTAGTAACCAGGGCATTGCTACTAGTAAGAAGTGCATCGCTACTAGTAGCAAGAAGCTACCAGTAACAAGGGCATCACTACTAGTAACATTCATAGGTATTAGTAGCAAGAAGCTACTAGCAACAAGGGCATCGCTATTGGTAGCAAGAAGCTACTGATAACAAGGGCATCGCATCTGGAAACAAGTGCAACGGTTTTAGTAGCAAGAAGCTACTAGTAACAAGGGCATCGCTACTAGTAACAAGTGCGTCACTATTAGTAGCAAGAAGCTACTAGTATCAAAGGCATCGCTGCTAGTAACAAGGGCATCGCTTTTAGTAACAAGGGTATCGCTACTAGCAACAAATGCATCGCCAATAGTAGCAAGAAGCAGGTAGTAACAAGGGCATCGCTACTGGGAACAAGAGCATCGCTATTAGGAGCAAGAAGCTACTAGTAACAAGAGTCTCGCTACTAGTAACAAGGGCATCGCTACTAGCAACAATTGCATGGCTATTAGCAGCAAGAAGCTACTAGTAACAAGTGCGTGGCTATCAGTAATAAGAGCATCGCTATACAATATATCAGTAGCAAGAAGCTACTGGAAACAAGGGCGTCTCTACTAGTAACAAGTGCATGGCTATCAGTAGCAAGAGAGCTTCGCTACTAGTAACAAGTGCATCGCTTTTAGTAGCAAGAAGCTACTCGTAACAAGGGTATCGATACTAGTAACGACAAGTGCATCGGTATTAGTAGCAAGAAGCTACTAGTAACAAGCGCATCGCTTTTTTGTAGCAAGAAGCTACTAGTGACAAGGGCATCTCTACTAGCAACAAGCTCCTCGCTGTTAGTAGCAGGAAGCTACTAGTAACAAGCACGTCGCTATTAGTAGGAAGGCCATCGCTACTAGTAACAAATGCATTGCTATTAGCAGCAAGAAGGTAGTAGTAACAAGGGCATTGCATGCTACTAGTAACAAGTGCTTCGCTATGTAGCAAGGACATCGCTACTAGTAACAAGCGCATCGCTATTAGTAGCAAGGAAGCAATATACACTAGTAACAAGGGCACCCCTACCAGTAACAAGTGCGTCGCTACTAGTAGCAAGAAGCTAATAGTAACAAGCACATCGCTACTAGTAGCTAAAAGAACTAGTAACAAGGGCATCGCTACTAGTAACAAGTGCGTCGCTAGTAGTAGCTAGAAGCTATTAGTAGAAAGGGCAACTATCAGTAGCAAGAAGCTACTAGTAACAAGGGCAGCGATACCAGTAAGAAGTGCATCGCTATTAGTAGCAAGAAGCTGATATCAAGGCATCGCTACTAGTAACAAGTGCACCGCTATTAGCAAGAAGCTACAAGTAACAAAGGGAATGCTACTAGTAACAAGCGCATCGCTATTAGTAACAAAACGCTGCTAGTAACAAGGGCATCACTAGTAACAAGTGCATCGATATTAGTAGCTTAAAGCTATACTGACTAGTAACGAATGTGTCGCTACTAAAAGCCATAATATTTTAGTACCAAGGGCATCGCTACTAGGAACAAGTGCATCACTAATAGTAGCCAAAAGCAAGGGAGTAGCATGTGCATCGCTGAAAGTAGCAAGAAAACAAGGGCAACGCTTCTAGTAACAAGTGCGTCGCTATTAGAAGCAAGAAGCTACTAGTTACAAGGGGATCGCTACTAGTAACAAGTGCATTGCTATTCGTAGCGACAAGCTACTACTAAGGGCCTCGCTGCTAGTAACAAGTACATCGCTATTAGTAGCCAGAAGGTACTAGCAACAGGGGAATCGCTACTAGTAACAAGTGCATCGCTATTAGTAGCGACAAGCTACTAGTACTACTAAGGGCCTCGCTGCTAGTAACAAGTGCATCCCTATTAGTAGTACTAGTAACAGGGGTATCGCTGCTAGTAACAAGTGCGTCGCTATTAGTATCAAGAATC